AAACACATCTCAAAAGCAAACATTTGCAAACACCTTTGCCATAATATTAATTTCTGTTAGACTTTTGTGTGTTACATAGAGAATTGTGTGTTGTGTTTTGCAAAAAGTGTTTTATGAAATTGAAAACTGAGTCAAAGGCCGAGAATTAGCGTATGGTTTTGCAGATTTGGTGTGTGCTTTGAGTGTCTGCTTTCAGAAATTGTGTGACAAGCAGGGCAGGACTTACGGGGCCGGGGGCCCCTGGGCTTGAGGTTATGTTTGGGCCCCATACCTATACTAATAAAATGAAATCACTATAAACAAAATGTATAGATTGAATTTGCACAAGTTATGTTAAGCTTAAATACAACATTTTAATGTAAAAATATTAAATGATTTAAAAATGAAATAATGAGATACTTTTTAAAATATGAAACTACAACCGCCAGTAGGTGGCAGCAAGTGACTGTCTTAATGAGTGAGTTGAATCCATAAATCAACCGATTTGTTTAAAATGCTAATTCAGTTAACTTAACAAATGACTGTACTTATAGCCTGTTTGAACCATTTACTGGTCCATGTATTGCTGAGAAACAAAACACTGTGTTGCTCGGAGACGCATTGATGGGGCAAAACAGAATTTTGTGTCTGTGTTTATTGTACATTTGCCATCATGCAGATATTCGGACAAACAGGACTCTAGTTTGTGTGATAGGCTAAATCCTGTATCGTAGGCATTCACTCATTAAATGCAGGGTTCGTTCAACCAATAAATTTAAATGACTTTTAAGGCAATATTCATGACCTAATTCTCCATTAATTTACACAAATGTTCAGATTTATCATAGCATATGCTAAGGATATTGTAATTTGCTTAGCCAGTATTATAAATTAAACTCAGGACCTGAATTTCATTTTAGAAACAGCTTTGGTGGAAAACATTCAGGTACAGAAACGGAATAAACTGTAAATGAAAAACGTCTCAGGTTTCGAGACACTGCATCCTCTAGGGGTCGCTATGGGGAACGCCTAGTCGTGACCCGTGTCTGAAGCATACATTGAAAAACGCCAACAACACGTTGGCCGGCGACAGCCATGACATCACTACCGGTGCGACTATAGTATAAATAGGCACCGGGAGAACACATCATCCACTTCTTCATCTGAAGCTTGCGTCCGAAGCATGGCAAGAAACCTAGAGGACGCAGTGTCTTGTTCCCTACTCAGGGAACCATGGTTACATAAGTAACCTGAGATGTTCCCTTTCATGGGAACTTCGAACTGCGTCCTCTAGGGTTCGCTATGGGTATACTAACGGTATACCCACTCCACCATGCTGAGGGGAGTGCATGCCAGAAACCATGGCGAGCACTAAGTACCAACTCTACCATATTGCCATGGGAGTTGCCCCTGGGACGTTAGACGGCTGTCAGTGACGACATTCCCTACGGCCAAAGGCCTAGGCTACATACGCCAAAAAACTTACCTGTTAGGGCCAAAACTCCTGGGCCCGGGGTAGAACTCAAGGCTTGGAATCAGGAATAGATTCCTTTAAGGGAATAAGGCTCTGCATATGCTAAAGGAACTGTCTCAACAGACCCCTAGTAGCAACACCCTGTTAACGTAAGTATCCAGAGGATACATAGGTGGAGTGGTGCCCAAGGCGGAACCGGGGTTTTAAACCACTCAGAAAGAGCACAAGGCTGCTGCGCGTAGCTCTTACCATACAGGATTTTAGAAAAGAATGCAGAGTACTAGCGTGCGACATACCACAGTGTGGATTTTAGAAAGTGTACAAAGACTTCACGTGCACACTTACCATATCATGGATTTTAAAAATACCATTCTAAGGGGTTCTCGTGGCACTCTGAAAGAGCAGCCCATAGATGGAAATGGTGCATCCCAAAACGCTATGTTTGAGAAGTCATCAACTCAATCTAAGGCTTATAATGCTGGAGCGGCTAGCAGTAAATCTGTAGCTGAGGGGGCAAACATCCAGCTCTCAATCGAGAGGGAGCTCGACCTACAGCATGTTCCAATGAAGGAACAGCTAGCAGCTATTTAGCTGAGGGAGCAACACCCCCAGTTCTCAAACGAGAGGAGGCTCGACCTACAGCATGTTCCAAAGCTGGAACAGCTAGCAATAATTTACTTAGCTGTGGGAGCAACACACCCAGTTCTCAGTCGAGAAGGGGGCTCGACCTACAGCATGTTCCAATGCTGGAACTGCTAGCAGTAATTTACCTTAGCTGAGGAAGCACAAATCCAGCTCTCAGCAAGAGGGGGACTCGACCTAAAGCGCAATTGTTAGAATCAGAAGAGTAAGTGTACTGCAAGCTAGCCAAAAAACTTAGCGCATCAGAGAGGCAGAGGAAGGGCCTAGCTCGCCTGATGCTGCTGGTTCCAGGTGCTCTGGGAAAAATAGAGAACTCAACTCTCACGTGAGAGTAGAACTCCGAATTCAGAAGGAGTAGCGTGCTCATAGGTAACCCTTTGATAAAAGGGGAGCACTGCTCAGCACTACCACAAGAACAGCCCATGGAGCAAGGAATCCAACTCCTCAGAGAGAATTAAATGCTCAAAAGAAAACACCATGCTCACAATAACCCTCAATGGTGAGGGGAGCGATGCTTCCAGAGTGTGTCGACAGTTGAGTGGAGCCCAAGGTACCGGGGTCTAAACCAACTCAGAGAAAGGGAACGAGGCTCATAACGCGTAACCCTTACCATACAGGATTTCAGAAAAGTGGGCAAAGCATAACCTGCACACTTACCACTTATGTGGATTTTAGAAAGTGGGCAAAGTATAACGTGCACACTTA